AATCGTATTAATGACGTTGCCTCGAAGTGAGACAGAGGTGGTAAGTACGTCAATAAAGTTTTCCAGAATTAAGATTCCAGACTTAAAACGGCTCTGTCGAATTTTATGAAGCACGGTACCCATCAGTGGTGCGAACCCAGAGTAAAAGTCGGGGAGCATATCGACAAGAGTACGAAAATATTGTGCTGCTTTTCGATTCCCACATGGAACTCCGTCAACAAAATCCGTAGATTATGAGAACAAAAGATATTTGTTCACTCTATGAAGTTAACCAAACACCAGCGCATTCGTCTGTTGTCTCCCCAACTGACAGTCACACTCGATGCCGTTTGGGCTACATTCATACAATCTTCGCGTTCATAAGGGGAGAAAGATATTTTTAGAAATTACAGCAAGCGTCAACATAATCCAAGAGAAACGTTTACAAACCTCATCCATACTAATACAAAGGCTTCCTTACTCGGAGGGTTAATCAATACGGCGTCTTTGGCCATCGGTGAGAAACAGCGCAATGCAGCCCACTAAATGATCAGGAACCTGTTAAACAAAACGAAGGTATTTACTATTCCTTGTGGAGCATTGAGTAGTGTGCAGATGTGAAACCTCCTGAGGAGTAGATAGTCGGATCCTTTTACACCCAACAGATGGGGCCCTTACCAAGACGAACAGCACAGCTGATTACCTTTCCAGGGTCAAACCGTTATGCTTGTAAACATCCTCAGTTACATTGCATGGTATTTCCCAAAAATGTTGATTATTTAGGAGCAACTATCTGACTGGTTACCAGAACTGTCAAAAATTTTCGGTGAATGTAGTGAGCTAGCTAAGCCGATTCCTCATGGGGCCCTTCAGAGATCTGAGCATGGACTCAGATTCAGTTTGGATTCTATCAGGAAGGCCAGACTCCTGAAAGTAACCTCAGAACGCCCGGAACCTACTGCTCCACCAAAGTCCCAACAGGAAAGCCGGCAAGCATCCAGGTCACTCAATCATCCAATCAATCCAGGAAAAGCTGATGAGTGTTCATGCGCTCCACAGAAGCACGACCGAATGTGATCAGCAATCAGGCATCTCATAGAGGCACGATCGATGTTGATGGGTTTTCACCAACGCCTATCAAACAGCCTGGATCGATGTCAAAAGTCCCTTGTAAATAGCGTGGGGCTGTTGTAACTTTCGCTCTCTCGCATTCGCTTGTTCGGAATATAGTTGTGTTCCTTTCTGTGAGCCTTTTTCTCCGGCATTGGGCACTGGAGCGGGTCAGTAGCAGATACCATAGATTGGCGAATCAGCAGATTCATTTGAGTCTCCGTCGAAACCAAAGTAGGTTGCAAACAGTTGCATCCGACCAATTGAAATGGGTGTTCAGATTTATCCCCCTTTGCCACAAAAACCCTATAATCGTCTGAGAACTATCATAGGTAAACCATCTGAGCCGTTCGTGCAGCGTCCGGATTTTTATGCTCAATCTCTCTTTACTTTCTGTATGAAAACTTGAGAATATTCGAGAAACCTTCTCCTCAAGAATTCGTGCGCAGAATTGTCTGTTGCCAATCAACAGTGAAATCCGACACGTTATACATAAGGTCGTTGAAAACTTCGATATCCAAAGTTGCCTTTTTGCGACCATGATATCTCGACTACCGTACTAACTGAAACATCGAGCGTCATTCGCGCAGCGCAATCAGCTGAAAAATATTTTTACTCGCCTGCGATCCACTTTGGTTGCCCGGTGACACTGACTTCACTGGCGTATAACCGTTTATCCACACAGAGAAAGCGAGCTTGCGGGTGGCAGTCTGTCAATCCCATGCCATAAAAATACCTATATGGTAGCCAACACCTTGGTACCATGAACAAAGGGCCACAGGTCAAAAGGAAAAATAGATCAGGCAACTGACGATCAAGGTACTTCCATCATGAAACCTCTGAACCCGTAGGATAAGTTGAAGTCGTTTAATGAATAATGCCTCGATGCTGTCTAGAGAGATGAGCCTGTGTCACATAGGGAGAACGTGAAAATGTCCTAGAGACTGGGTTTATCAGCCGTATGAATCACGTGTTTGATGTCGACGAACTGGGTGAGCGGTTTGTTTGTGGACTGAATTCTGCAGCTAGTTTCCCGATGATTTCGTAGAAGCACTTGCCGAGTAGAATGCAGTTCCTGTTAACACTGTCGTGGATCCCGTTTTCGAATGAATATTCTCGCACTCCAGTCCAGTCTACGAAAAATCAGGTTCACACAAAATATTCATGCTCAATGTCCAAGCCAATCCGATTCATGTTCTTCTTTAAGGTGCATTCTATTCATTTTAATTCATTCAATAACTGTGTATTCAGATGAAGGAGTTTGAAATCGGCGCAAAAATTGGTTTGGAAAGTTTGTCACCTGTAAATTCATCCACACAACACCATAAGGTGCACAAATTTTTGTTCGCCAAGTGGTGAATATCCTAGAGAAATACACTCATTTGCAAACAAATTAGGTTTTGCTGGAGGCTTACCTGGAACCCAGCTGAATCTCTCGTTTATGATGTTTTTAGGCGAGCGAGGTGACGAATGATTTTCAGCAACCTTGTGAGTAGTGTATTACGTGTGTCAGTCAGACTTCCCATAGGTTTGTTACAAGATATATGATGAAATCCCTCTTGCACCACCGTTACTGCAGGCAGGATCTCTGGTTAGTGAAGAAAAGCGAACCGATGCTGCCTCTAATCATTTTTCACACCTGCCTTAACGATTGTTGGTTGCATACTCCATTTGTCCTTATCGTACTCTAACAAACCTTCTGATCATTCCGTTTCCAGTGACCTTGAAGCCTCACACGATTTGTCATTACGGCTTAGTTCATTCGCGCGGCCGCGAGATGCTGTGGTAAACTAACCAAGGGATCAAGTAAACGATTTCTTGGAAACTATCATGAACTACCCTCAATCCTGCTATGGGTCAAGACAATGAGACAGAAGCACGAACTGTAGACCAATCCTGCTATGGGTCGCACAGCCAGACAATGAGACAGAAGCACGAACTGTAGAATCACTGTATATTCTTGGTCAGTGTGTTGCTACTATCAGCTGAGTATCGGGCAGAGGCGAAATTCTGTCGGTTACGACGCAATAAATCCATACTTGATGAGTGCTGTGCCGGAGCAGACCATACTGATTGCTGAAACAGAGTGTACGACCTGAGGTCCATACCTCACGAGATGGACCAAGTGATTAGAGCGCGAATTTACTGACCGGAAGGTCTGTGGTTCGAACCCGACCTCTGCCACTCGACTTCCCCTGCCTAGGTTTGGGCAACCTGGCAGCATCCCAGCCCTCGTGCCTCCTTCGTGTGGAGTGGCAGTTTGACACCGAAAGGGTGCTCCAGCTGGACGATTTTTTTTTCATACCTCACGATCCAAATATTGCCAGTAGTGGCAAAAAACCTGGAGTTTCATTCGGCGTACAGCTGAAAAAGCCCACGACGTTTTGCGAACTAGAGCTAGAAGTGGTGGCGACGAGCAAATCACCATCTCTTGGTAGAGACGGCATATCAGGGTACAGTGGTGCACGATAGAAGACATATATAGTTTGACACAGGGTGCTCCAGCTGGACGATTTTTTTTTCATACCTCACGATCCAAATATTGCCAGTAGTGGCAAAAAACCTGGAGTTTCATTCGGCGTACAGCTGAAAAAGCCCACGACGTTTTGCGAACTAGAGCTAGAAGTGGTGGCGACGAGCAAATCACCATCTCTTGGTAGAGACGGCATATCAGGGTACAGTGGTGCACGATAGAAGACATATATGTCGCCAGCCTCTAATTCCTAATGACCTATGCGTATTATTCTTACAAGAAGCGTATCGGAAATCCATCTGCCCAACTTCTCTCCAAGAAGTTGGGGTTACTAGTTAGTCCCATCCCGACCACTTGTACATCCTCACCAGTCTTTCCAAGATTTTTTCAGGTCCCGTTAGAGCAAATGCCGTGAAAATGTATGGTTTTTCGGAACTCTGTCATTTGCTCCTTGTCAATTCCGCTCGACGTCCGGTCGTGTATGCTGTTGGGTCAGAGCTCACTGAGAACTGTCATTCTGTTTGGTTACCTGGACGCAGGATAAAAGTCCTGATTTTGATGTTACCCCTCGCACGCTGCTCATAGCAGAAAAATCTTCTCGGCCGATCACAAACACTGACTCTCTTAAATTCCACCATCGTGCTGGGTTTTCTTTATTGGATCAAGGATATCGCATCGCCCGTTGCAAGCACGCCGACGTTGCAGTTTTTAGTTGTCTCTGTTCTGGCACGAACTCCCTTATAATCAAGACAAATTTGTCTAGTTAACCGGTCGGCCTCTTTTAAATGTACCCGACTGCCACGATGTTTCATTTATTTGTGGTCCGTGACCAATCATAATGCAACTCCATACAACAGATAGCCAAGTGATCCTCAAATTCAGCATTCGGGTGTATCATTATCCCCGATCTCCCCCAAATTGAGCACGTCCATTTTGTCTTTGATAAAGTTCCTTGTATCTAAGATTTGTAGTAAGACCTATTCCCGGCGAGTTCGCTACCTGCACCCTAGAGCATCAACAATGCTACCGGAGTGCGCCAGACAGTTTTTCTTATCGTTTCGCTTCCTCGGGCTAACGACCAAATGCAGCGGAATCTAATGTGCATCCGGTTCTGTCCCCTCATTAACAGGCATGTAATTTCGAGATAATCTTCCACCTAAATTTTTGTGGGGGGAAATTATTTCGAAAGCCGCTTCGATCTGTCATACAGCATCAGTATAGATGACTGGTTTTCATGGAACCACGGTGTATTGTGACAATCTAATCTCACACTTGATCCGGCTACTCGTTGACCGTAAACTTATCCAGCTCGATTTTTAGACATGCTTTTATAGGTATATATATAATTATTACCTTATATATGTATGTTGTATTATAATACACCATATATATTATGCTAAATTATAGCCTTATTTCTCTTGTGTGTACTGAAAAACCGTCATTCAGCTGTAACACCCTTTCGGTGCCTAACTGCCATGCCACCAGAAGCAAGCACGAGAACTGGGATGCTGCCAGGTTGCCCAAGCCTACACAGAAGTCGATAGGTGGAGGTCGGGTTCAAACCACGGACCTTTCGGTCAGTAAATTCGCGCTCTAGCCCCCTCGCCCCCTAAGCTATCTTGGTGTTTTTTATCATCTATATGCCCGAATTGAGAATTCACGTATGGGAGCACTAATTTCTTCTGAAACTCATCATCATCATCGACAGCACAAAATCACTGTTCAATACGCACGCTTCGCTGTCGTACAACCACAATTTATCCAGAAGCCTTATGGTGAAGGATAGGATAAAAGTGACTGAGGAAGAGACTTGGTGCTAGCCTACCACAATCAGTTCAACACTTCCAGACGTTCATTCAGTCCTAGTGGGGAACTCCAATTTGGCTTGCACGCCAAAGGAAAACTTGAAAAAAAAAACTACTCATTCCAGTCACCACTGAACTATCATCTTCGTGATTACTAGCAGCATCCTGAATCCCGATCATTGGATATTGATATCATTGAATACTACACGACATTCTTCGCGAAAGGCGTCAGAGAGAGATTATCACTCATCCGACCATTCGAGAAGTTCAGTGTTGCATTTTCCAACAGCCCAAGCGTTGCTCACACAGATTCAGCTCCTCTGAATCGACGCGAATCCCACTAGGATTAGTGAATCTGGTGAGATGTGATCACCGACAAAGAGCTTCTTCGGCTGTGGAAGCGCGTGCTGATGCCTGACCGACTGCAGTAATGATATTATCAAAATTTCAGCAGCCAGGGCTGAGACTGTACTTTCCAAGATTACAGTACAATGAACTACCGCATGGTCTGACTCGTGAGTTCCACATATCGGTATTTTGTGAACAGCTGCTCATAAAGTGCCTTAGCACTCGTATTTAATGTGCTGCTCAAAACCGCACAAGGCTATGATAGGGACGTTGAGTGGTGAACTTTGAACCTTGCTAGTGCGATTCTAGAGCTGACCGGTTCTAGTGCCAACACCTAGTTTTGAGCCAGAAAATTAGGTGTAAAGGCTGTCAGGTGGAGCATTGTAATAGACCGAAAAAAGCTCTA